TGTGTGTGTGTGTGTGTGTGTGTACACGTCGCATTTTTTGCATCGATATGGTGTATCCTGATCATTTTTGCCAGACGCGTATTTGCGTCCATAGTCTATACTGATAACATCTGCTGAGCACGTATTTGCGTCCATAGTACGCAAAGGGATAATAAAAATCAGAGTTTTGCATAGTAATATAAATCTTAACTAGTTCGATATTCGCTTCTGATAATAAAATACTAATTTAAGTGAGAAGGGGGCAGTGGGTATTGTCCACTGCTCGGGTCTCGTTTGTAGTCACCTACACGCGGTGAGACCTGCGATGGAAGCTGGGTTTAATCGTTGGTAACGGTATCAAGCAAGGAAGAGCGATTCCGAATAAATTCTGTTGGATTATACGTTCAAAATGTAATAACAATCTATTAACATATGATACGCAGGATGAAAGAGGGCGTTTGTATAAAACAACTGAGCTAGATTTGAGAATCTTCTAGTTGGCTTTGTTTATCCTCTAATGTCTAATGTCTAATCAATATTCGATTATTAATTGTCTGATTTTAGTAACGGATCGTGCATTAAGTTTACTTCATCGTACAGTTCGAAGTATTTAGACTTTTACTTACTCGTGCAATAGTTGAATAAAAGGAAAGTTCAAGTTCAACCAATGCATTTAATGTTTATTTAAATACTAATTTGAAAAAATTCTCAATTCTCTTTTGATATTTCAATAATTTAGTGTATAAATGGCTGCTAACGAATGTTACAACGAATTGAGAGGAACAACTAATTTCATTTTACTGGAATAAAACATCGACTAGGCGAAAATTGGTTCGTCTGTAGGGAAACAGGAAATACAATCACATCTCTCTTATTCTCCAAGATTATTTTGGTAAATTTAAAGTCTAATCGATCACTATTTATGAATAAAGAGTATTCTAATCAGTATTAACTTTTCAAATGAGTACAACAGTTGAACGTGCGACACAAGAGTCCATTACGTGATAGGTCTACTCGTATGTCTGGTTTGTGATAATATTATGATCAATGTACATCGTTAGCGTATATTTCGCTTTTAATTTGTAAACTTAATTCTTAAGTAAAGTATTTCTTGGGTTTGATCGTTAAAGTATTTTCAAATAAATCTATAGTAATATCAACCAACTAAACTCATAATGGTATGAACATAAAGTACTAAGTTATAGATAAAGAACGATGATACTTTACCTAAAACTTAGTAGTTTGGAAAAATGATTGAGGTACATACGATATACTAAACTTTTTCATCGTTATAATACTCCGAATATATTGAGTAACTGTCGTACGTATACGTATATGTATTGACATTCATGTAAGTATATACAATCTACTAATCAATAATTTAACAGAAAATTTTTAAACATTGCATGTAATGACTGCAATATTTTACAATTGTTATTATTTTATTATATACATAAGTTCCAATATGAACATTTAACTATCTTTATTTTATATGTATATTTACATTAAATATTTTATTTAAAACGTCTGGATATTTTGATCAACAGAAATATCCGACACAATTTCAATATAATTTCCTATAATCATCTAACATAATTTTAATATAACTAAAAGGAATCAACAATTTTTATATTTTAAATTAAAAATACAACATACGTATATAATTAAAATTGTTGTACCCTGGTGTCTTAGATAAAAAATGATTTCTACAATTAAGAACGTGATACCATTCTCGCTTCCTATGACTGCTATAGAACGACGAAAGCAATACGATTTTTGAGACTATGAAACCATATATACTAAAATTGTAAATTTCAAATAGAGCTAACTAGTAGAGCTAAACAGCGAGTTTTGCGAGCATTAGGGCCACGATGAAAGAATAACGGAATACTTAGGGAAAAGGATCAAATTCCACGTAGAAACGAATAATGTGATTCGAATCTTCGAACTGTAAACACCATAATTAATTAAGTTCGGATTATTTAAAAACACTCTGACACAATGAATTGATTATAACGAAATGTGGCTATAAACCTTCTTGAAAATATACGCTTCAAAACAACAAAAAAATCGCCTCAAAATCATAGATAAGAGAATAAACCGAGAGTCCATTGCATTTTTGTTGACACCGTAAAAATAGAGAAAGCATCTCTCATTAGTTTTTTTGTCTCTCAATCGCCTGGTCTCAAGTCTCTCATTTGGAGTGCTAGGTCTATTCTCATATGTCTGTGATCAAAATCGGATCATTAGTTGATGAGCTACGGAACCACAGTCACAAGTCTCGGCGTCAAACGTTATAATACCCCTCGACTTGGCTTCGAGGATTAAAAATGAGAATAAAAGTCCTGCACTGACACCTACAGTCTATTTTTTGAAGTTCTCCAATGAGGTCCTAGCATCGCACAATATTCCGTGTCGGAGGGCACAACAAAATATATTAAACTTTGTATAGAAAATTACTAATCGGAATGAATATAATTTACATCAACCTTCTCTTCTGGCTATTTACAGTACATATTCTTCTAAATTAAGTAATTTATAATTTTTGATAGTTTTATCCACAATATTTTCAGTTCCTATTTTGCGTCATGTGGCTCTATTCGTGGTTTAAGAATTTTTTGTTTCGTACAATAAAATATGACAGCTCCAGACAGATCGACTTGTCAGTTTTATGTAACCGTCCCTGAATATTATATATTTTTATAAATAGTATAATTATTGAATATTTACGACTTTGCTAATTTTCGTACATTTTTCTCCTTTTGATTCAATTGGATATTTTTCTCGCTCATCGCTACTTTTATGCGTTGAGATTCTATTCACGAATAGTTAGATTATTATTATTTACCTACTGGCACATAGTTATAACAATGATAATAATAACTTTAATAGCAGTAAATCGGAGGGAAAATTACACTTCTATAATTTAGAAATCAATGAAAAATGACTGTAATTCAATCTTGACTTAAATAGTTTCCGAATTTAATGGGATTCTTTAAAGCCATTATTCGATTATGTTATATGTACAATAATAATGTGTATACTTATATAGACGAACCATTGTAACAGATGAGCAAAATGTGGTATACTATTTTAACTTATTAGGAGTCTTTATATCCATAAATTGTGCGGTTATTACAGATAAGAAACGAAGATTTAAATTATTACTAACACAAAAGAAATGTTACCTTTCTATATAAATAAATCATAGAAAAGTGTTGAAATTAAAAAAGCTCGCATAAATTTGTTTACTCTTTGTATAATACTACGTAATTATGTATTTCATTCTAATTGAAATTATTAAAAACTGCATCTTAGATACGACAGTATACTCTGTCTCCTGTGATTAGATATTTATTAATCTATAATAAAAAATCTTAAATCTTCGATTAATAGGAATATCGCATAACGTTCATGGACGAACTTAATTCTTATTTGTAACACCATATACTTACCTTCATCAAGGCGTAAATACTTGAGATTATTCGTCAATTAAATTCAAGCTCTCGGATTAAATCTGGGACACTTTGAAGCGTATTTTCCGAATATAATTGGCGATCACGTTGAATTTCTGCAGTTTCCTCATGACGTATCCTTTCACCGTAGACAGATGAATTGTTCATCAATAACAACGAAGACGAATTGTTTCGAAAATACTGATGTCCTAGTGATTGTTCCGCTTCAACAGTGGGACTCACCGGTTGCCAATCTGCCGCCACGCTATACTAACTGGCATGCGTCGGAGACCCTGTGTCTTCTGTCTGCGTGGCGGCATCCCTAACTGAAAAACAAAATGAGTTTTCAATTATTTCAATAGACTACAGATGTCTGTTTTTTACTTATGATATTAAAGAAATGTATTAATGTTCTGGATTATTTTCATTATTTCTATGATTCGTCATAAACCCTCTTTTGCAACGCGTTAAGTTGCTTTCTTCGACACCATGGATTAGACATACAAGCAAACCTATCAACCAATGTATTCGCCTGCCTCCTGTCTTCCGGAACTCTACGCCCTATTTCCATGTCACTTACATTGTTATCAACACATTATAGAAAGTAATTTCGACGATCACTATAGTAGACTAATGTATCGTGAAAATGGGTAAATTCTGATTGAAACATGGATGGAAACAAATGTTGGCATTTTTATTTCCCGATCCTTGAGCAAATGACCAATCTTGGAAGTGGGTATTTAAGATCGGGCATTATCCCTCTTTTATGTCAATTATATAATACACGTCCTAATGAATATTAAAATAAATTAAGAAAAATCCTGCAACTTGGATGGCGTATCTCCCCAATCGTACAACAGTCGCAGTCGTTTCTGTTCCATTCGCTCGCATTGCGCGAAAATAATCCTGGGTATGGTGCACATTTGGGGTACTCGTATCCAGGACTCTCGCATATGCAGTGAGATAGATTACCGGTTGTCAGACTACTCTCACGCAGAGGTATAGGCTCGAATTTATAGTCGATTCTCGCACTTGGCACTCAGCACTCAAGTGCGTCCAACCGTTCCGCGTTCAATGTACACATTTATGTTATGTTCAGATTCTAAAAGTTTTATACTTCATGTTTGAAAAAGAAGTGAAAGAAGCGGAAAAGGAGAAAAACTATTGCGCAGCTATTCCGCTACTCTCACTTCTTTTTAAACATAACAATGTGTACATTGGTGGGACGCACTTGAGTGCTGAGTGTCAAGTGCGAGAAGCGACTATAAATTCGAGCCTGGATAATGGAATGAATGTGATAAAATCGACTTGAATTTACCCAAATGAAATATGATATTTTGCACTTTCTTTTTTGTCCCAATTTTGTAATCGGAATGAGAGTTAGAGTTTTGCTCGCAATCGTATGAAATCTCCTCCAATATTCACACCGTATAATAGAGTGGTAACTTATATGGGTGGGGATTGTCCACTGCCGGGTCTCGGGTCTTGAATGTAGTCACCTCCACGCGATGAGACCAGGGATCTCGTAATTTTTCGCAGACGGCTCGCGTCCCCTGTTTTTCGCCCGTATTTCGATCCCCACTATTATGCGTGCTCATGCGCGTTCGCGAAGCTCTCCGCAGCGCTACCGTGAAAATCACTGCATACCCCCACCAACTATTGGTCCCCACCATGGTCGCGTCGTTCCCACTTTCCGGCCGAGCGAAAAATTACGAGATCCCTGGATGAGACCTGGGTTGGGAGCGTTTTCAAAGTATAATCTTTGGAAACGGTACCAAGGGAAAGACTACAATCTAGTTTAAGAATCTTTGTATCATAAATTGTACGATGTTTCAACAATTTAATGTATGTTGGATAAACGAGAAATGGTTGAAAAGATTCTTTCGATTATAACACTGAACTGGTAGGTGACCAATTTCATAATCATTTTTATATTACTTTTTACACTTAAGTTGATGTAAATTGATAGATAAGTTAAGAAGTGTATAAAGTAATTATTTACAAAAAGATACTCCCCACTAATTTTGATAAAGCTCAAATATATTATCGCGAATATTTTGGACAACTTTTCCTTGTACGTGTTGCCGTTGCTCGGACTTAGTTTCTGAAATATTCATGAAGCTGTTATTATTACAGTGAATTTTATCGCATACCATCGGTCGCTGTAATGTCGATACCCCCTAATATGTTACACATACAACATGACAATTACGCATAACATACGTTCATCTATCTATGATGAATAATATATTGAAAAATAGGACACCGTCTGTAATACCTCTTTGTAAAGAATTACCTTAAATAAAATGAAAACCATGTAGATAATTTATGTGATTCAAAATATGGACAATATTAAGCCAGAAATGTGTTGCGTACCTCACGTTAGCAGACTATCGCTGTGTACGAGTCCAGTTTCCCAAGGAAGAGGTGGCGGTGTATTAGCTAATGACGAAGAGGAACATCGGGTCATCGAACATCGATCTATTGAGCAACGCTCTAAACCTGTGAACAAACCGCGAATGTTATTTCTATATGTTTTTAAGGTTATCTTTATAATTAAGGAAAGATCGTTTTAATGTCATATTCTGAACTAAATGAAAATACACTAGAACCTCCGTTTTACATATAATCATTAGAGGCGTGCGAGAACTCGAAAATCTCAAGAACCTCGTGCTCGGTTCGAGTAGCGAAAGTATTCTATAAAACAGAATTGTCGGGATTTTCGAAGGTCCTTAGGAGATTAAAATTATACGAATTATCTGCTGAACAAACAGAACCATACATTTAATTAATTTAATTATGTTAAGAGAAAATATCTAAAAAATATTGGTTTTATGATTTCATTTTTTATATAAGAAATTACATATAAACAATTTATATTCGTTTTATTTAAATTTGTCTTAAATACACGTACAATTTGAGTACTAATTGTCTGTTGTTCTATTATGAGAAAATTCTTTTATACGGACACATTTGTTTCCCAATTAGTTTATATAATAACTGGTTCTACTGTATCAGTTATTACGTTGTTTTACTATGTTTCAAGTATGATTCTGATTGGATACCAGAAGTTTAATTATAAGTTGTTGTTATATACGATAACGTTTCCTAAAAGTATCATAT